AATGCTTACCGGCTAGGCCACAAGGACACTAAAAGCAGTTCTAGACTCTGTTATATTTCACACAAAGCCTGTTCATCGAGCTGATGGCGCCGTGAACCTCATTGGGAAACTGCCCGTGCCTCTTATGTGGTGTCAGTAGCATTTTACCGAATCCAGCTGGTATGAAACGCGAGGTACATATATATACTTCATTTTTAGTCCAGGCAGGCGGAGGAGAGGCGAGGACCGCCTGGCAGCGAAGGAGGAGGAGGTGTTGCTTGTTCAGGAAGAGAGGCTAGAATGAATCTCAATGGAGAGACAGAGCTTATATACCCAGCAGCAGCCGCCAGTCCTCTATGAGTCATGTTGGGAAAACCCGAGAAAGTCGCCGGTTCCTGGTTCCGTTGCTAAGATACGGTAACATCTGTTGTCGCCGCTTGCTTGGTTGCTAGGATACGGTGGCGCATCGGAATGCGGATACGCAGTTATAGGGGAGAAGTCGACTACAAGCGTCCTGACACAAAACCGTGTTGGCAATTCATTTACAAGGTTATTGCGTAGTAGATGTTCCGTCATGGCAAGTCAGATAATGCTCTTACGTACTTTGCATACTACGCTGGTCAGGCTCACTGGTCTATAGTTGTTCATGGAGTGACGATCGCCCTTCTTGAAGATAGGACTCACATAAGCCACTTTCCATTCACTGGGGACCTTTCGTTCATCCAGGCATTTACAAAACAGGATCTTCAGGGGCTCTGCAAGCTCGTTGCACAGCTCTCTTAGCACTCTAGGATGCACCATGTCAGGGCCGGGACTCTTGCGGACCTGTAGCTTTGACAGTTTATTTTTAATACCCTCTTCTGTGAACACAATGTGAGTCAGTGCTGTGTCGAACCGTCTGTCCTCAAACGCAGGTAGATTGTTCACATTCTCTCCTGTGAACACCGAGGAAAAGAAACTGTTCAACGCCTCCGACTTGTCCTGGTCAGAATCTTCGTAACTATCTTAAGAACATAAGAACATAAGAATGGAGGAAACTGCAATGGGCCTATTAGCCCATACTGGGCAGTCCCGTTTACACCCAACCCCTATTGCTCATATACACATCCAACCTATGTTTGAAGCTATTCAGCGTATTCGAGTTAATGATGATATTTGGTAACTTGTTCCATTCATCCATTACTCTGTTTCCAAACCAGTGTTTACCTATTTCACCCCTAAATCTAAATTTATCTAATTTAAAACCATTGTTACGAGTTCGCTCCTGGTTGGATAGTTTGAGTACCTTTGTAATGTCCCCTTTGATTAGCCCTGCCTTCCACTTATACACCTCTATCAGGTCGCCCCTCGCTCTACGTCTCTCGAGGGAGTGCAAATTAAGATGCTTTAGCCTGTCTCTATACTCAAGGTTCCTAATGCCTGGGATTAGTCTTGTCATTCTCCTCTGAATTCTTTCCAAGGATTCTATATCCATTCTGTAATACGGTGACCAGAACTGAACTGCGTAGTCCAGGTGTGGTCTCACAAGAGCAAGATACAGTTTTAGGATGACCTCGCTAGTCTTGTAACTAACACTCCTTTGTATGAACCCAAGTACTTTATTAGCCTTGTTACGAGCAAAAACACATTGTTTACTTGGTTTAAGGTTCCTACTTATCATTACTCCTAAATCTCTCTCGCAGTCGGATTTCTCTATGGCATCGTTGTTCATCTGGTATCTGGTTTCCCTGTTTACATCTCCTATACTGAGTACTTTACATTTGTCGACGTTGAATTTCATCTGCCATTTTTCAGACCATTCGAAAAATTTGTTTAGATCTTCCTGTAGTTTTGCCGAGTCCTCGCCAGATTTAAAAACACGTCCTATTTTAGTGTCATCAGCAAATTTACTTATGTTGCTGTCTATGTCGATATCTATGTCGTTTATGTATATAATAAATAATAATGGTCCAAGTACTGAGCCTTGGGGAACTCCACTTGTGACGTTGCTCCAATGGGACTTAGTGCCGTTAATGCTCACTCGCTGTTTCCTGTCCTGTAACCACGCCCTACTCCATTTAAGGATGTCACCTCTGATGCCATGTGCTTCTACCTTTCTAATTAGTCTTTCGTGGGGGACTCTGTCGAAGGCTTTGCTAAAGTCGAGATATACCACATCATAATTGTGCCCCTCGTCCATCGATTCGAAAACTGGTGAAAAGAATGTTAATAGATTAGTTAGGCAAGAACGTCTGCTTGTGAAGCCATGCTGGGAATTATTGATCAATCGGTGCTTCTCCAGGTGATTTCGAATAGAGTTTGAGATGATTGCTTCCAGTAATTTGCCTACTATTGATGTTAGACTGATTGGGCGGTAGTTAGAGGATAGTGATCTATCCCCCTTCTTGAAAATCGGTATTACATTCGCTATCCTCCAGGATTCTGGGACTACACCTGTTTTTAAGGACATGTTAAACAAGTTTGCTAAGGGCATACTAAGCTCTTCCTTACATTCCTTTAATACTCTGGCAAATATCTCATCGGGACCAGGTGACTTATTAGGCTTTAGTTTGTCTATTTGCTTACTAACATCGTTACTAGTCACTACTATCTCGCTTAATTTGTTTTCTTCACTATCTCTGAATAGAGTCGGTGCCTCGGGTATCATGTTTAAATTTTCGGTGGTGAAAACTGTTGAAAAATATTTATTCAAATTATTGCTCATTTCTCTGTCGTTATCAGTGAGCTCGCCGGTGTCTGACCGTACTGGTCCAATCTTTTCTCGTGTTTTAGTTTGATACATTTGGTAGAATCCTTTGGGGTTTGTCTTCGCCTCCCTTGCTATCCTTACCTCATTATTCCTCTTTGCTTTCCTTATCTCGGTTTTAACCCTACTCGCCAATACCCTATAATAGTCCCGGAGGTGAATTTCGCCACGATTTATCCTTCTACCTATAGCCTTCCTTTGGCCAATGATGATCTTTAAATAATTATTTATCCATTTAGGGTCATTGTTGTCTGAACTGAGTTTTTTGTATGGTATGTTCTGCCTTTGTGCATTAAGTAACTCACTATTTAAATTGTCGTGGAACTCGGCAATCTCAGATCTCGTTATCAGGTCGGTGTCATCTGACAGGTTCACGGCCAAGCACAACACCCCCTCTCTCAGCTGCCTCTTTAAACTGTCAAAGTTCGCCCCTCTGAAATCTGGTACTTTAGTGGAATTTTCCTTACGTCTGCCCTGAAAATCTAACTGGAATCTAATTTCTTTGTGATCGCTGTTTGCAAATTCGTTCCCTACCTCAACCCTGCTAATGAGGTTTTCTCTGTTTGACAGAACTAAATCGAGTATATTATTACCCCGTGTGGGTTCGGTTATATGTTGACTTAGAAAACAGTCCTGGATAGTCTCGAGAAAATCCTCTGATTCTGAGTTACCTGTAAGGTCAGTCCAATCTATTTGCCAAGGTTAAAGTCGCCTACTATACAGACTTTTTTGTGTATGGAAGCCCTGCGCATTTCATCCCAGATAAGTCGCTCTTTGACTCTATCAAGATTGGGAGGTCTTTATATTACTCATGTGATTAATTTTTCTCTACCGTCGATTAATTCTATCCAAATTGTTTCTGTATTCCGCTCAGTTGTGATTTCCTTATTTATTTCACACTTCAGATTATCCCTAACATAGATTGCTACTCCGCCTCCTTTCCTGGTCTGCCTATCGGTATGGAACAGTTTGTAACCCGCAATTTGGTATTCGACCGGTAACCCACGTGTGTCTAGGTTGATCCATTTTTCAGTGAATGCCATTATATCGATTTTTTCGGTACATACCAAGGCCCTAATATCGTCCATTTTGTTTCTCATACTTCTACTGTTCGCGTAGTATACATTTAAGTTAGTCGTGTTCTGAATCCTCCCCTTACCGCGTTTAGTTTTAAACTCCCTGTCTAATTTAGTTTTGTCATCATTCCTAACACTATTTCCCTGCAATCTTTCACTTTGTTTACCCGCTCCCACTGCAGTCTCCTCCACCCCTGTGCTCATATGTTCTCCTAGCAGTTTAAAGACTTCTATATCTTTTGAACTGCCCCCTCTAGAGCCCCAGCCAGGGTTGCTACTCCATCCCTAGACAGGTGCACCCCATCCCTAGCATAAAGGTCCCTTCTGCCATAGAAGTTGTCCCAGTTGTCAATGAATGGGACTGATATTGACTTGCAATATCTGTCAAGACGGTCGTTGACACCAACCGCCCTTGACAACCATTCACTGCCAACTCTGCTTCTAGGCAGGACACCGCATATGATAGGGATCCCTCCCTTAGACCTAATACGATCTATCGATGCCTTGAACTTATCAAGAAGCTCCTCGCTCCTACACCGGCCAATATCATTGCCTCCTGCACTGAGGCAGATAATGGGTTTGTTCCCATTACCAGACAAGATATTGTCCATCCCGTCAACTATATTCCCCACCCCAGCTCCTGGCAAACACACCCTCATCCTATTTTTGTTTTTACCTCAAAAGGCCCTGTCCATGTACCTTACCTGTGAGTCACCAACAATTAAAGTTTTTATACCTTCCTTGTCATCCCTGTCCCTGACTGTACTAACGTCCAATTCGTCTATCAAGGGACTGAACGGGTTGGTACACTTAGCTGTTGTTGTCGTTGTTGTCGTATCCTTGGTGTACTTCTTCACCACCAGCTTCGTCTTCCCACTACTCACAACTTTCCACTTGCTTGAGTTTTCGTCAGACACTGGCTTTACTCGTCCAGCCTCCCCTTTTAACTTCGCCCAAGCCTCAGATCTGATACTCCTACTCGCGTTTTTAGTTTCGACTTTGACCTCGCGTGCAACCAGCCTCTGTAACTACAGTATGAATGTATAATTATAAGCTGTGTCAGGCGATCTCTCTCTCTCTCTCTCTCTCTCTCTCTCTCTCTCTCTTTCACCTACATCTCATATCTCATCGAGATTTTAAGGAAGGTACACAGACTCCCCTTTGGTTGGTGATTGCAGGTTTATCAGTGCCCAGGTGGTGCTGATAAGACAAGCAGCTCCTCTAATACAGTATATAGAGGCAGAGTGACTGACAAACCTCGTTTATTCAGTCCCTGCGCAGACACCATGGCTGTGAGTGCTATACCTGCCCCACCTCCCCTGCCCTCTCTCTCTCTCAGACTTTTGCCCCTGAGTCCTTATCTGTCAGTCTCTTGCACCGTTTGTGTGTGGCTAATATTTGTACAGACGTTCTGAAGATGCCTTCAGGATGTGAGGAGGCTGGAACAAAGGCAGGGGACAAGCCTCGCCCCCTCGAGATCACTCTAGTGAGTGAGGAGAAATAGAAGCGGTACCGTTCTAGCCTCGCAAGCGAGATGTCACGGGTTCGATTCCCGGGACGGTGGAAGTTGTTTGGACTTACTACCTAGCCCTCATTAGTTCCTGTTCACCTAGCAGTAAAGTAGGTACCTGTTGTAAGTCGAAAGTTGCGAATTCGTATTCAGGGACAAGTTTTTGGAGCTTCCAATAACTTGAGGACATAAAACACTGACTCTTCAGGCTTCTACGCCCCTGACTCTTCAGGCTTCTACGCCCTTAACTCATGAGACATAAAGGCAAGCATGAACTTAGCATGCTTCCCTGTTGGGCGCTGTACGCTTCTGCGCTTCACCTTACACTCGCCCAATAAAAAAAAAAAAGGGAGGTTATTAAGCAGGCCAAAAACTTAGCAAGGAGCGAGGTATCTCGGGGTGTACTCATTCACCCAGATCGCACGGTAATGCAGAGGGAACAGCACAGGAAGCTCCTCCTGGACTTGAAGCAGTGAAGGGAGGAATCGAGGAGTACACCCGTCCTCGCTCGTAGTGCCCCTTGAGATGCTTATACACCTTAATTAGGTCGCCCCGTGCCCGTCTGTAGTATAAGTTAGGCAGGTTCAGGCGCTTTCAATCTCTCAGGGTAGTTGAGGTGCCGAAGTGCAGGCACCAGTCTGGTGGCCCTCCTTTGAACATTTTCAACCAACTGACAGTCCCTAACATATCTCGGGGACCAGACAGGGTGACAGTACTCCAGATGGGGAAGCACTTCACTCTTGAAGATCGTTATGAGGGACGGACCGTCTAGATGTCTGAACGACCTTCTTATAAGACCCAATAATTTATTTGCCTGATTTACCTTCTTCTCGCAATGGCCCGAGAACTTCAGCTCATTGTCAACATACACACCTACGTCCTTTTCACATTCAGTCTCAAATAGTGCAGTTTCTTCACCCAGTTGGGACATATGATACGCCTCCTTACCGTTGGTACGCCCCAGGTGCATCCTCTGTGTGTTATTAGTTTCTCCCAGTTATTCACGTATGCTTCTTTGGACATGTTTCTTAGTTGTTCGTGTATGGTGTGATATTGTCTTCTGTATTCTGGCGTCCATCCTTGTTCTACGATTAATTTGAATAAATTACTGAATTGTGTCTGTAGGATTCTTGATTGATGCGAGTATTGAGGGTGTGGTAATGTACGGTAAGTGGTCTTGGGTAAGTAGTGTTCCATTGCTTGGCTCACGTTTCCGTACCATATCTCTAGTGTGTTGTCTATTTGGGAAGTGTGTTTGTTGCTTAGTTGGGTGATTTGGTGATTGTTTAACTGCTTTTGGAATTCCTCCCAGTTGGACCAGCTGTAGCTGTATCTCATCCTGGCCGGGATCTGTATTGGCGACGTGGAGACCGTGGCTACGATAGGGAGATGGTCACTGGTGGTTATTGGGCCGGGTTCCATTTGCAGGTTAAGATGGTGATGCTGGTTTGTTAGTACTATGTCTTGATGTCCGATGTGACCTGCTCTGATGTATGAGGGGAATTCCGGGCCAAGGTGTATTGCTTTGCCGTGATTCAATAATGTGTACCCCGGCCGGACCCCATGTATTGTTTGTACAGCGAGTGTTAACCAAGTTGCTTGTAGTGGGTGGGAGGGTACAGTAAGTTGCTTGTAGTGGGTGGGAGGGTACAGTAAGTTGCTTGTAGTGGGTGGGAGGGTACAGTAAGTTGCTTGTAGTGGGTGGGAGGGTACAGTAAGTTGCTTGTAGTGGGTGGGAGGGTACAGTAAGTTGCTTGTGGTGGGTGGGAGGTACAGTAAGTTGCTTGTGGTGGGTGGGAGGGATTGTAAGTTGCTTGTAGTGGTGGGAGGTACAGTAAGTTGCTTGTAGTGGGTGGGAGAATGATAGTTGCTTGTAGTGGGTGGGAGGTGCAGTAAGTTGCTTGTAGTGGGTGGGAGGTACAGTAAGTTGCATGGTGGAATTGGGAAGGGTACAGTAAGTTGTAATGGGGTGGGAGGGTACAGTAAGTTGCTTGTAGTGGGTGGGAGGTACAGTAAGTTGCGTTTAGTGGGTGGGAGGTACAGTAAGTTGCTTGTAGTGGGTGGGAGGGTACAGTAAGTTGCTTGTGGTGGGTGGAGGAATACAGAGTTGCTTGTAGTGGGTGGGAGGGACGATAAGTTGCTTGTAGTGGGTGGGAGGTACAGTAAGTTGCCTGTAATGGGTGGGAGGGTACAGTAAGTTGCTTGTGAGTGGGTGGAAGGATACCAGTAGTTGCGTTTAGTGGGTGGGAGGGTACAGTAAGTTTGCTTGTAGTGGGTGGAGGTACAGTAGTTGCTTGTGGGTGGGAGGTGATAGTTGCTTGTAGTGGGTGGGAGGGTACAGTAAGTTGCGTTTAGTGGGTGGGAGGGTACAGTAAGTTGCTTGTAGTGGGTGGGAGAAGTTGCTTGTAATGGGTGGAGGGTGATAAGTTGCTTGTAGTGGGTGGGAGGTACAGTAAGTTGCTTGTAGTGGGTGGGAGGGTACAGTAAGTTTCTTGTAGTGGGTGGGAGGGTACAGTAAGTTGCTTGTAATGGGTGGGAGGGTACAGTAAGTTGCTTTAGTGGGTGGGAGGGTACAGTAAGTTGCTTGTAGTGGGTGGGAGGGTACAGTAAGTTGCGTTTTAGTGGGTGGGAGGGTACAGTAAGTTGCTTGTAGTGGGTGGGAAAGATGGTAAGTTGTTTGTAGTGGTGGGAGGGTACAGTAAGTTGCTTGTAGTGGGTGGGAGGGTACAGTAGTTGCTTGTAATGGGTGGGAGGGACAGTAAGTTGCTTGTAATGGGTGGGAAGGTACAGTAAGTTGCTTGTAGTGGGTGGGAAGGTACAGTAGTTGCTTGTAATGGGTGGAGAGGTACTGTAAGTTGCTTGTAGTGGGTGGGAGGAATAGGCGATGGTGGTGGGAAGTACAGTAAGTTGCTTGTAGTGGGTGGAGGGACTAGTAAGTTGCTTGTAGTGGGTGGGAGGTACAGTAAGTTGCTTGTAATGGGTGGGAGGATCAGTAAGTTGCTTGTAGTGGGAAGGGTATAGTTGCGTTTAGTGGGTGGAGGGTACAGTAAGTTGCTTGTATGGGTGGGAGGGCAGTAAGTTGCTTGTAGTGGGTGGGAGGTACAGTAAGTTGCTGTAGTGGGTGGGAGGGAACAGTAAGTTGCTTGTAGTGGGTGGGAGGTACAGTAAGTTGCCTGTAGTGGGTGGGAGGGTACAGTAAGTTGCTTGTAGTGGGTGGGAGGGTACAGTAAGTTGCTTGTAGTGGGTGGGAGGTGCAGTAAGTTGCTTGTAGTGGGTGGGAGGTACAGTAAGTTGCTTTGTATGGGTTGGGAGGGTACAGTAAGTTGCTTGTAGTGGGTGGAGGGTACAGTAAGTTGCTTGTAGTGGGTGGGAGGGTACAGTAAGTTGCTTGTAGTGGGTGGGAGGGTACAGTAAGTTGCTTTGTAATGGGTGGGAGGGTACAGTAAGTTGCTTGTAGTGGGTGGGAGGGTACAGTAAGTTGCTTGTAATGGGTGGGAGGGTACAGTAAGTTGCTTGTAGTGGGTGGGAGGTGCAGTAAGTTGCTTGTAGTGGGTGGGAGGTACATAGTTGTTTTAGTGGTGAGAGGTGGTTGCTTGTAGTGGGTGGGAGGGTACAGTAAGTTGCTTGTAGTGGGTGGGAGGGTACAGTAAGTTGTCTTGTAGTGGGTGGGAGGGTACAGTAAGTTGCTTGTAATGGGTGGGAGGGTACAGTAAGTTGCTTTGTAGTTGGGAGGGTACAGTAAGTTGCTTGTAGTGGGTGGGAGGGTACAGTAAGTTGCTTGTAATGGGTGGGAGGGTACAGTAAGTTGCTTGTGGGTGGGAGAGACAAGTTGCTTTAGTGGGTGGGAGGTACAGTAAGTTGGTTTAGTGGGTGGGAGGTGCAGTGTAAGTTGCTTGTAGTGGTGGGGAGGGTACAGTAAGTGCCTGTAATGGGTGGGAGGGTACAGTGGTTGCTTAATGGGTGGGAGGTGCAGTAAGTTGTTTGTAGTGGGTGGGAGGTACAGTAAGTTGCTTGTAGTGGGTGGGAGGGGCTGGTGCATTTGCTTGAGTGGGTGGGAGGGTACAGTAAGTTGCTTGTAGTGGGTGGAAGGTACAGTAAGTTGCTTGTAGTGGGTGGGAGGGTACAGTAAGTTGCTTGTAGTTGGTTGGGAGGTACAGTAAGTTGCGTTTAGTGGGTGGGAGGGCACAGTAATTTGCTGTATGGTGGTGGGAGGTACAGTAAGTTGCTTGTAGTGGGTGGAGGGCCAGTAATTTGCTTAGTGGGTGGGAAGGTACAGTAAGTTGTGGTGGGTGAGGGAAGTTTTGTGGGTGCATGAGTGGGTGGGAGGGTACAGTAAGTTGCTTGTAGTGGGTGGGAGGTGATGTAAGTTGCTTGTAGTGGGTGGGAGGGTACAGTAAGTTGCTTGTAGTGGTGGGAGAGAGAGTATTGTAAGTTGCTTGTAGTGGGTGGGAGGTGGCAATTGCTTGTAGTGGGTGGGGGGTACAGTGGGTTGCTTTAGTGGTGGAGGATTGGTAGTGGGAGAGTTTCAGTAAGTTGTAGTGGGTGGGAGGGTACAGTAAGTTGCTTGTAATGGGTGGAAGGGTACAGTAATTTAGGTTAGATTAGGTTGCATTTGATTTGCCTTGGTTTGGTTTGGTTAGGTCATGTTAAGTTAGGGTTATTATATAGGACTAACCCGCGGCAAATGATTGAAAACATTTATAAAAACGCCGGATTTTCATTGTTATAGTGAACACTGTAGTTTAAATATTGTTAAACAACGGTTATTTTTAAAATAAACGCTTCATTTGTGGTTATGAAGAACAGACCTAACCAACCATTAAAAACAAACCTACCAAACAAACCTACCTAACCTTACCTAACTTCCCCGGTATATTAAACAGAAAGAACTTTCTACAATATGGTGAAATTTGAGGCATTTTCTGGACGTGAGATGATGCGGCTGCATCGGCGCTATGCAGCCCTGGCGGGTTAGTCCTATATATTAACCTAAGTTAGGCGAGGTAAAGTTAGGTTAGGTCAGGTCAAGATTAGGTTAGGTCAGTTCAAAGTTAGGTCATGTTAGTTTAGGTCATTTCAAAGTTAGGTTAGGTCGGTCAGATGGGTTGAAGTGTTTAATCTAGTTAGTGGTAACGTTATCAGTGTTATCAGCATGGTGTTGTTGTTATGACTCTAGTGTTGAGAGACCTACCAATAATCTTGTTAACCTTTTACCTTGATGATAAGTATTTGTTGTTGATCGTCTTTTGTTATGATGAGTGTATATGGTCTCTCTCTCTCTCTCTCTCTCTCTCTCTCTCTCTCTCTCTCTCTCTCTCTCTCTCTCTCAACACCCTCCTCCCGCAGGACTCGTCATGGGAGAAGAAAGTGCTCCTGATCGATCCCTCACTGGTGTTCCGACCGGAGGAGGTGGTGAAGAAATCTGGATGGGGATTCCGACACTTCCAGAGCTCAGACGACCCTAAGTTCGAAATGGTGAAGGAAACGTATATGAAGATGCATACTGAACAGTGCGTGGATTATGTGAAGAGGAAGGTGAGACTGTAAGAGGAGGAAGATGGGGAGGAGGAGTAGGAAGAAGAAGAGGAAATGGGAAAGAATGAAGATTATAGCCAAACACAGAAAGATTATAGCCAAACATAGTATAAACACAGACATTATATAGCCAAACATAAAGGACATTTTTATATCTCAGTTTATCAATATTTAACCGTGAAAAATGCTTCTGTAAGAAATGCTAGTAACAAAAAATTATATGCCCACAGACAGGCAAACTTAGACATACAGACAGACAATTAAAGTGTTTTCTCTCCACCAGCACAACTACTGGGGTAAGTTTGACAAGTTCGAGGCTACAGTGTTGGGCCTGGAGAAACTGAACAACTTGATTGATAAGAGTGATCCAGATGTGGATATCCCCAATATTGTTCACGCCTTCCAGACCGCTGAACGCATCCGTCAGGCTCACCCGAAGAATTGGTTCCATCTAACTGGTCTTATCCATGACTTAGGCAAGGTGAGAGGGAGAGGAAGAGGGGAGGGGAAGGGAGGAGAGGAGAAGAGGCAGAAAGAAAGGGAGGAGGGAGGAGAATGAGAGAGGGAAGGAGGAAGAGAGAATGAGAGAGCAGAGAAGGGTGAATAAGAGCGGAAAGGGTGGAAGAGGGAGAGAGACAGGGGGAAAGAGAGAGAGAGTTAGAAAGGTTCGAGGAAAGAAGAGAGAGAGAATTTAAAGTTACCCAGTCTCAGACTGAATTCCACTCTGACCCCCTGTAACCCCGTGTGGCCCAATTTGACCCCCTCTGTAACCCATGTGTTATTTGACCCCTGTGACCTCGTATGAACCAATTTGATGCCTGTAATATTTAACTCTTTGTGACTCACTTGACCCCCTCTGTAACCCTGTGTAGCCAATTTGACCCCTCTATAACCCATGCCATAATTTGCCCTCTGTGCATGTATTTGACCCCTGTGACCTCACATGTGAACCAATTTGATGCCTGTAATCTAATTTAACTCTTGTGACTCACTTGACCCCTTCTGCTAACCCTGTGTGGCCAATTTGACCCTCTGTAACCCCGTAGTGACCCCAGAGCCCGTGTGACCTCTGAACAGGTGATGGTGTTCTACGGAGAGCCACAGTGGTCAACAGTAAACGACACATTCCCATGAGGTTGTGAGTTTGGGGAGTCGATAGTCTACCGTCACACTACCTTCCACGACAATCCTGACCATCACAACCCCAAGTTTAAGTTCGTGTGATTTATGATGTTATTTAAGTGTGTGTGATTTATGATGTTATTTAAGTTCGTGTGATTTATGATGTTATTTAAGTGTGTGTGGTTTATGATGTTATTTAAGTGTGGGTGATTTATGTTGTTATTTAAGTGTGTGTGATTTATGATGTTACTTAAGTGTGTGTGATTTATGATGTTATTTAAGTGTGTGTGATTTATGATGTTACTTAAGTGTGTGTGATTTATGATGTTATTTAAGTGTGTGTGATTTATGATGTTACTTAAGTGTGTGTGATTTATGATGTTATTTAAGTGTGTGTGATTTATGATGTTACTTAAGTGTGTGTGATTTATGATGTTATTTAAGTGTGTGTGATTTATGATGTTACTTAAGTGTGTGTGATTTATGATGTTATTTAAGTGTGTGTGATTTATGATGTTATTTAAGTGTGTGTGATTTATGATGTTATTTAAGTGTGTGTGTGATTTATGATGTTATTTAAGTGCGTGTGATTTATGATGTTATTTAAGTGTGTGTGATTTATGATGTTATTTAAATGTGTTATTTATGATGTTGTTTATTTAAGTGTGTGTGATTTATGGTGGTGTGTATTTAAGTCTGTGATTTATGATGTTATTTAAGTGTGGGTGATTTATGTTGTCGTTGTCGTTAATTATTTAAGTGTGTGTGATTTTCGTTGTAAGTTATTTAAGTGTGGTGTAATGGTCAGCATGTTCGCCTCACTTTTACTTTTATCCTCTTCGCCACTGATCGGCTTGTTAGCAGGCGATCGGTCACGTCTCTTTTCCTTTATATTCTTCACCGAAAGTTACGTTTCCTGCTTGCATCGGGCGTCGGTCACGTCTCTATGCGCGGGTTCGATTGCGGGCAGGATGAAACTATGGGCAACTTTCTTTACGCCATTTGCCTCTGTCTACCCAGCAGTAATTGGGGACCTGGATGTTAATCGATTTGCGGATCGTGTTCCGGGGTAATGGTTAGCCAGTGTAGTTGGCGAGTTGTCCGGGACTATTCCTTGACACTGAGTCATGCAGCTCGTTAACTTAGTGTGTGGTTGTTGTGTTGATGACAGCTTCTACACTTTAAACAAATTCTCGCCTAGGTGGCCCTCTGACCCGGCCATCTGCGTTACTAGAGAGGCAACCATTATTTATTTATTTAGTTATTTAAGTGTGTGTGATTTATGTTGTTTATTTAACCCTTTTGCCACGTTATTTATTTTCAGTGTGGTTCTCAAAATTCGTCGATTCTTCAGCAAAAAATGAAAGCGTTTAGATGTAATTTTCTCGTACATTTTATCAGGGTCATGTACAGTATGTATGTTTTAATGTCTAGCCTGTAAATTGATTAATAAATACGTACATTCAATAACAGAGGAACAGTAAATAGGACAAAAAATAAATAATTAATAGGCATTTATTGGATCTTGTGTTGATGATTCAAAAATAGAATTGCTCAGACCTGCTGCCCTGCAGTAATAACATGTCAACAGACTTCCTGGTGACGCTTCAGCCCCTGATTCCTTATACCTCATGGTTGTCGCTGTTGGGGAGGAGGGTGGGGGTATGTACAGACTCTGTACAGATTTACTCAGCCTTAAGCCCACCGCATGATAAGAGGACTCAGAACACGACTAACTTTAATGTCTACTACGCAAACAGTAGAAGTATGAGAAACAAAATGGATGATATTAGGGCCTTGGTATGTACCAAAAAAATCGATATAATAGCATTCACTGAAACATGGATCAACCTACACTCACCTTGAGTTACCTGTGAATACCAATTTAGGTTACAAGTATTGATGATGAACTAGGAAGACCAGAAGGAGGTGGAGTAGCAATCTATGTCGGGATAATCTGAAGTGTGAAATAAATAAAACAAAACTGAGTGGAATACAGAAACAATTTGGATACAAATTAATCGTCGGTGAGGGAAAAATTAATCAGAGAATATATGACCTCCCAATCTTGATAGAGTCAATGAGTGACTTATCTGGGATGTAATCTTGGGACTTCCATACACAACAAAGTCTGTATAGTAGGCGACTTTAACTGGCGAAATAGATGGACTGACCTTTCAGACTACTCAGAATCAAGTTTTCTCGAAAATTTGCAGGACTGTTTCCTAAGTCAACATATAACTTGAACCCACCTGAAGATATATACTCGTTCTGTCGGAGAAAAACCTCATTAGTAATGTCGAGGTAGGGAGCGAACTTGTAGCGATCACAAAGAAATTAGATTCCAGTTAGATTTTCAGGGACAAGCGAAAGGAAAATTCCACTAAAGTCCCAAATTTCAGAAGGGCAAACTTTGACAGTTTAAAGAGGCAGCTGAGGGAGTGTCGGCTGGGCAGGGAGTGAGCTACATGACCTCTCATGAGGTGACCTCACACAATGTGCAGGCGACCTCACCGTACCAGGAGACCTGGTGGTTGAATTGACCTGATGTGAGATCTGAGATTGCAGGTTCCGACAAATTTAAATTATAGGTTATAACAATACTACAAAGGCAAAACATACCCATGCAAAAAACTCAGATCAGACCACAATAACCCCTAAGTGGATTAATAATTATTTAAAGAACATCATTGGCCAAAGGAGAGGCTATAGGTAGAAGGATAAATGGTACTTGAGAATTACCTCGGGATTATTTATAAGGTGTTAATGAGTAGGGTTAAAACCGAGACAAGGAAAGCCAGAGGAATAATGGGGTGATGGGATAACCGAGGAGGCGAACAAACCCAAAGGTTCACAAATGTATCAAACTAAAAAGATTGGACCAATACAGTCAGATACCGGCGAGCTAAGTGATAGCGATGGAGAAATAAAACGTAAATACAGATAAATATTTTTCAACGAGTTTTCACCACGAAATTAAACCTTATGATGCCAGGCACCGACTCTATCAGAGATGGTGAAAGAAGAAACAAATTAAGTGAGATAGTAGTGACCATAAGTAACAATGTTAGTTATGATAGACAAACTAAAGCCTAATAAGTCACCTGGTCCCGATGGATATTGCCAGAGTATTAAAGGAGGAATGTGAGAGAAGCAGTATGCCCATACATAGCAAAGTTGTTTAACATGTCATACAAAACAGGTGTATTGCCAGAATCCTGGAGGGATAGCGAATGTAATACCGATTTTCAAGAAGGGATGAATCACTATCCTCTAACTACGTAAGTCTAACATCAATAGTGAGCAAATTAAAAGGCAGTAGAACTTGACTCTATTGAAAATCTGCCTGGAGAAAGCAACGATTGATCAATAGTTAACATGGCTTCACAATGAAGACGTTCATATCTAACTAATCTATGCCCAATGACACTGCATCAGTTTGAATCGCTGGGCGAAACAATTATGATGTGGTATATCTCGACTTTAGCAAACCTTGACAGAGTCCCCACGAAAGACTAATTAGAAAGGTGAAGCTCTGTGGCATCAAGGTGACATCATAAATGGATTAAGGCGATAGGGCGTGGTTACAGGACAGGAAACAAGCGGTGAGCATTATGCGTCACTCAATCACATTGGAGCAACTACTGGTGGGTTAAGCGAGAGCTCAATGCTTGGACCATTATTGTTTAGTATACATATAAACGACATAGATATCGACATGAATGTCGACTTGGGCACTTAACAAAAGTAAATTTGCTGATGACACTAAATAAGAACGTATTAAATCTGAGACTCCGCAAAACTACAGGAAGATCAATAAATTTTTTTTTGAATGGTCTGAAAAATGGCAGATGAAGAGTGCTAGCACGTGGACGATGTAAAATGCCAGTATAGGAGATGTAAACAGAGCCAGTTGCAGATGAACAACGATGCCATTGAGAAATCCTACAGAAAAGAGATTTAGAGTAATGATAGGAAAGTCGAACCTTAAGCCAAATATTAGTAATATTATTTTAACGTAAGCAAACTATCACAAAGTGCTTGGGTTCATACAAAGGTGTTAGTTACCAAGACTAGCGAGGTCATCCTAAAACTGTATCTTAAGCTTGTGAGGACCACACCTGGATTCGCCAGTTCAGTTCTGGTCACCCATTATTACAGAATGGATATAGAATCATGGAAAGAATTCAGAGAATGACAAGACTAAATCCGGGCGGCAGGAACCTTAGGTACAGAGACGGGTTAAAAGCATCTTAATTTACCTCCCTCAGAGAGCGTGAAGCGAGCCTGATAGAGGTGTTATAAATGGAAGTCAGGGGGGTAAACAAAGGGACGTACAAAAAGTATGACCTATCCAGCCAGGAGGCGAACTTCGTAACAATGGTTTGGATTATACTAGAATTTGGAATTTAGGCACCAAAATAGAGTATACCGGTTTGGGAAACAGAGTAGTGGATGAATGGAACAAGTATATATCATCTTCTTTCAGTCGCTGGATAGCTTCAAACATAGGTTGGATGTATATGAGCAATAGAGGGTTGGGTGTAAACAGGACTGCAGTGGTTGGGTGTAAACGGGACTGCCCAGTATGGGCCAATAGGCCCGCTGCAGTTTCCTCCATTTTTATGTTGTTACATCCACCTTCGCTTAACGTTGTGGTTACGTTCTTGTAAAACACAACTTTAATGGAATCAATTTTCCCCGTAAGAAATAAATAAAATACGGGAGTTACGTTCCCCAGCCTCCCTTTGCCCCATAAAATACATTACATATACATAAATTCAATGGAATTTTTATAGAAAATATATATTATACGTCCAAAAAGATAAATAAACTATATTAATGTTTAATAAATAAGATAATACAATCATTTTGTATTGTATTCACTGATAGAAGCTAACAAAACTGGGGAGAAAACTCTTGGGGAGGCTGTGACGCTCCGAAAAGAGACCGTAGTGCGCCAAGATAAGATAGGTCCCTTTAAAAGCCCCTATCTGCTGTCTGCTTACCTCGGCTACTATGACTAGTGTCACTCACCGGGCTCCCACACTTAGTTTCTTCCTGCCTGGGATGACTTCCTTTATAATCACATCTACTAGTTGTAGTCTAAGTGAATTGAGATGTGTGAGTGATCATGCCCTTGTGGCAGACTAATATTATTTAAAGGAATCACTTAGTTGCCCTGCCAGTCTTATCCTCACTGGCACCCTCGTCCATCCAGTGTTGCCGTCCAAGACAGTTTGACTTGTTTTCTGTGTTTTTCAGTTCTCTTCAACGAGTTGTTGGTATCTCTATGTGCTGTCACTATGTACACTGTATCTCCCTATGAATGGTGGATCATATGCACACTCACAGTCTTTTAGAAAACACAGAAAAAAGAAATCATCATTACTGTCTTTCATCATCACTATTTTTCACTGTCTGTACAAACACTTTTCTTGGACTTTTTATTAACTATACATTGTACAAATAATATATTGTACAAATTATATAATGTACATGTAATATATTGCACATGTTATATATTGTACAAGTAATATAATGTACAAATAATATATCCTGTAATGTACATGTAATATATAATATATATTTAGTAATATAATGTACAAATAATATATCCTGTAATGTACATGTAATATATTTCTGTTATATATTGTACAAGTAATATAATGTACAAATAATATATCCTGTAATGTACATGTAATATATTGCACATGTTATATATTGTACAAGTAATATAATGTACAAATAATATATCCTGTAATGTACATGTAATATATTGCACATGTTATATATTGTACAAGTAATATAATGTACAAATAATATCTGTAGTGTACATGTAATATATTGCACATTTTATATATTGTACAAGTAATATATTGTACAAATAATATAATGTACATGTATATTGCACATGTAATATATTGTACAAGTAATATAATGTACAAATAATATAATGTACATGTACTTCATCTCCACAGTACTAAATATGGCATGTACGAACCCAACTGTGGCCTGAAGAATGTGTACATCTCGTGGGGCCATGATGAGTACATGTACCAAGTATTGAAGCACAATAAGTGTACATTGCCTAGGGAAGGTCTCTTTATGATCAGGTGTGTGTGTGTACGTGTTTTTGTCATGGGAGAGTGAGACACAGTGAGAGATATTGGATGAAAGTGAGGAATATTGGATGAGAGGGTGAGAGATATTGGATGAGAGGGTGAGAGACATTGGATGACAGAGGGTGAGATATTGGATGAGGGAGGGTGAGATATTGGATGAGAGGGTGAGAGACATTGGATGAGAGAGGGGTGAGATATTGGATGAGAGGTGAGATATTGGATGAGAATATTGGATGAGAGGGGTGAGATATTGGATGAGAGGGTGAGAGACATTGGATGAGAGAGGGGGAATATTGGATGAGAGGGTGAGATATTGGATGAGAGGGGTGAGATATTGGATGAGAGGGTGAGAGATATTGGATGAGAGAGGGTGAGATATTGGATGAGAGTGAGAGAGACATTGGATGAGAGAGGGTGAGATATTGGATGAGAGAGGGTGAGATATTGGATGAGAGGGTGAGAGATATTGGATGAGAGAGGGTGAGATATTGGATGAGAGGGTGAGAGACATTGGATGAGAGGGGTGAGATATTGGATGAGAGAGGGTGAGATATTGGATGAGAGGGTGAGAGATGGATGAGAGAGGGTGAGATATTGGATGAGGGTGAGAGATATTGGATGAGGGTGAGATATTGGATGAGAGAGGGTGAGAGACATTGGATGAGAGAGGGTGAGATATTGGATGAGAGGGAGAGATGGTGATGAAAGTGGGGATATTGATGAGAGGGTGAGAGATATTGGATGAAAGTGAGGATATTGGATGAGAGGGTGAGAGATATTGGATGAAAGTGAGGATATTGGATGAGGGTGAGAGACATTGGATGAGAGGGTGAGATATTGGATGAGAGGGTGAGAGACATTGGATGAGAGGGTGAGATATTGGATGAGAGGGTGAGATATTGGATGAGAGGGTGAGAGATATTGGGTGGAGAGGGTGAGAGACATTGGATGAGAGAGGGTGAGATATTGGATGAGAGGGTAGAGATATTGGATGAGAGAGGGTGAGATATTGGATGAGAGGGTGAGAGATTGGATGAGAGAGGGTGAGATATTGGATGAGAGAGGGTGAGAGACAATGGATGAGAGAGGGTGATATTGATGAGAGGGTGGATGCGTCCTGCCTAGAAGGAGAGTTGGCAGTGAATGGTTGTCGGCGGCAGTTGGTGTTAACGCATCGCCTTGACAGATATTGCAAGTCAATATCAGTCCTATCTTATTGACAACTGGGACAATCTCTATGGCAGAAGGGACCTTTATGCTAGGGATGGGGTGTACCTGTCTAGGATGGAGTAGCACCCTGGCTGGGGGTTTTAGAGGGGCAGTTCAAAAGATATCGAAGTCTTTTAAACTGCTAAGAGAAACATATGGGCACGTGGGGGTGAGGAGACTGCGTGATGGTAAACAAGGCTAAAGATTACAGGGAAATAGTAAGTATAGGAATGATGACAAAACTAAATTAGACAGGAGTTTAAAAAACTAAACGCCGTAAGGGAAGGACTCCAGAACACGACCGACTTAAATGTATACTACGCCGAACAGCAGAAGTATGAGAAACAAAAATGGATGATATTAAGGCCTTGGTATGTACCGAAGAAATCGATATAATTGCATTCACTGAAACATGGATCAACCTAGACACACGGAATTACCAGTCGAATACCAAATTGCGGTTACAAACTGTTCATACCGATAGGCAGACCAGGAAAGAGGCGGAGTAGCACCTATGTTAGATAAATTGAAGTGTGAAATAAATAAGGAAATAAAAACTGAGAGGAATACAGAAACAATTTGATAGAATTAAGCCACGGTCGAAAAAAATTAATCACAGGGTAATATATCGAATTTCAATCTTGATAAAGGCCAATGAGCGACTTATCTGGGATGAAATGAGGGCTTCCATACACAACAAAAGTCTGTATAGTAGGCGACTTTAACCTTGGCCAAATAGATTGGACTGTCCTTACGGGTAACTCAGAATCAGAGGATTTTCGGAGACGATCCAGACTGTTTCCTAAGTCAACATAATATAAACGAACCCACACGGGCAATAAATATGGGCTAATACTGATTTAGTTCTGACGAACAGAGAAGAAAAACCTCATTAGCAATGTCAGAGGTAGGGAAACTAACTTGGGCAAAAACAGCTTATCACAAAGAAATTCGATTCCAGTTAGATTTTCAGGGCAGACGAAGGAAAATTCCACTAAAGTACCAGATTTCAGAAGGGCAAACTTTGTCAGTTTAAAGAGGCAGCTGAGAGAGGGGGTGTCGCGCCTGGCCGTGAACCTGACAGATGACACCGACTCTGATAACGAGAGATCTGAGATTGCCGAAATTTCCATGACAATTTAAATAGTGAGTTACTTAATGCACAAAGGCAGAACATACCATACAAAAAACTCAGATCAGACAACAATGACCCTAAATGGATAAATAATTATTTAAAAACATCACACAAAGGAAGGCTATAGGTTGAAGGATAAATCGTGGCGAAATTCACCGGACTATTATAGGTAGCTGCTGTGCAGAGTTAAAACCGAGATATGAAAGCAAAGAGGAATTATGAGGTAAGGATAGCAAGGAGGCGAAGACAAAACCCCAAAGGATTCTACCAAATGTATCAAACTAAAACACGAGAAAGATTGGACCACACGGGTCAGACCAAGTAGCCTACTGATAACGACGGAGAAAATGAGCAATAATTTGAATAAATATTTTCAGCCCAAAGCCACCACCGAAAAATTTAAACATGATACTCGAGGCACCGACTTATTCAGAGATAGTGAAGAAACAAATTAAGGGAGATAGTAGTGACTAGTAACGATGTTAGTAAGCAAATAGACAAACCAAAGCCTAATAAGTCACCTTAACCTGAAGGAGATATTTGCCAGAGTATTAAAGGAATGTAAGGAAGAGCTTAGTATGCCCCTTAGCAAAGTTGTTTAACATGTCCTAAAAACAGGTGTAGTACCAGAATCCTGGAGGATAGCGAATGTAATAACGATTTTCAAGAAGGGGGATAGATCACTATCCTCTAACTACCTTCAATCAGTCTAACATCAATAGTAGGCAAATTACTGGAAGTAATCATTTCAAACTCTATTCAAAATCACCTGGAGAAGCACAGATTGATCAATGATTCCCAGCATCGCTTCAGAAGCGGACGTTCATGTCTAACTAATCTATTAACATTCTTTTCATCAGTTTTCGAATCGGTGGACAAGGGGCACAATTATGATGTGGTATATCTCGACTTTAGCAAAGCCTTCGACAGAGTCCCCCACGAAAGACTAATTAGAAAGGTAAAAGCTCATGGCATCAAAGGTAACATCCTTAAATGGATTAGGGCGTGGTTACAGGACAGGAAACAGCGAGTGAGCATTAACGGCACTAAGTCCCATTGGAGCAACGTCACAAGTGGAGTTCCCCAAGGCTCAGTACTTGGACCATTATTATTCATTATATACATAAACGACATAGATATCGGCATAGACAGCAACATAAGTAAATTTGCTGATGACACTAAAATAGGACGTGTTATCAAATCTGACGAGGACTCGGCAAAACTACAGGAAGATCTAAAAAAATTTTTCCAATGGTCTGAAAAATGGCAGATGAAATTCAATGTCGACAAATGTAAAGTACTCAGTATAGGAGATGTAAACAGGGAAACCAGATACCAGATGAACAACGATGCCATAGAGAAATCCGACTGCGAGAGAGATTTAGGAGTAATGATAAGTAGGAACCTTAAGCCAAGTAAACAATGTGTTTTTGCTCGTAACAAGGCTAATAAAGTACTTGGGTTCATACAAAGGAGTGTTAGTTACAAGACTAGCGAGGTCATCCTAAAACTGTATCTTGCTTTGTGAGACCACACCTGGATTACGCAGTTCAGTTCTGGTCACCGTATTACAGAATGGATATAGAATCCTTGGAAAGAATTCAGAGGAGAATGACAAGACTAATCCCGGGCATTAGGAACCTTGAGTATAGAGACAGGTTAAAGCATCTTAATTTGCACTCCCTCGAGAGACGTAGAGCGAGGGGCGACCTGATAGAGGTGTATAAGTGGAAGACAGGGCTAAACAAAGGGGACATTACAAAGGTACTCAAATTATCCAACCAGGAGCGAACTCGTAACAATGGTTTTAAATTAGACAAATTTAGATTTAGGCGTGAAATAGGTAAACACTGGTTTGGAAACAGAGTAGTGGATGAATGGAACAAGTTACCAAATATCATCATTAACTCGAATACGCTGAATAGCTTCAAACATAGGTTGGATGCTCATATGAGCAATAGGGGTTGGGTGTAAACGGGACTGCCCAGTATGGGCCAATAGGCCCGCTGCAGTTTCCTCCATTCTTATGTTCTTATGAAAGTGAGGGATATTGGATGAGAGGGTGAGAGATATTGGATGAAAGTGAGGGATATTGGATGAGAGGGTGAGAGACATTGGATGAGAGAGGGTGAGATATTGGATGAGAGGGTGAGAGATATTGGATGAGAGAGGGTGAGAGACATTGGATGAGAGAGGGAGAGTTATTGGATGAGAGGGTGAGAGATATTGGATGAAAGTGAGGGATATTGGATGAGAGGGTGAGAGATATTGGATGAGAGAGGGTGAGATATTGGATGAGAGGGTGAGAGATATTGGATGAAAGTGAGGGATATTGGATGAGAGGGTGAGAGACATTGGATGAGAGAGGGTGAGATATTGGATGAGAGAGGGTGAGAGACATTGGATGAGAGAGGGTGAGATATTGGATGAGAGGGTGAGAGATATTGGATGAGAGAGGGTGAGAGACATTGGATGAGAGAGGGTGAGATATTGGATGAGCGGGTGAGAGATATTGGATGAGAGAGGGTGAGAGACATTGGATGAGAGAGGGTGAGATATTGGATGAGAGGGTGAGAGATATTGGATGAGAGAGGGTGAGATATTGGATGAGAGATGGTGAGATATTGGATGAGGGACAGGATGAGACATAGTGAGAACCAGTGGGTGAGACACATGGATGAGAGACATTGAATGAGACAGCTTAGGGTTAATATTATTAAACTTTAATAATATAAATAAAAGTCCCATAATTTCAATCAATATTTTTAAGTTATGATGTTTTGAGGTTCTGTTAAGGTATGGTGAAGTAACGTTATTAATCATAGGTGTTAGTGAAGCTCTTAATATGTTAGTTTAATAAAATACTCGAAATATAGAAATAAAAAAAATAGTCTATGTCATCCCACCAGTTCCTTCATATTTGTCAACTTTCTTTTGATGTTGTGATAATATTTTATGCTGCCACTACACAGTATATTTCCTCATCTGCTAGGTATATAATATTGACCCCAAAAGCCAGGTTCTATAATATATTCTATCCATAAATTAAATACCATAATTTAGGTTTCATATACAGTATTCTACCCATGAGTTATACCCCATGATGCAAGGCCAATATATTCTAATAAATTGATACAGTTAACACACAATACTGTACTGTACTTCATGCAACATTCTTCCACTAATGATGCAGACTGTTGCAGGTTCCACTCCTTCTACCCCTGGCATACTGGGGGTGACTACATGCACCTGTGTGACAATCGTGACCTGGAGATGCTACCTTGGATCACAGAGTTCAAGTGAGTCAGTCTAGGCATGTGTGTTTCCTTTTGTAAAGCAATTAATTCAGATTTGGAAGACTTAATTTTCTTATGTTTGTTACTATGGTGTAAGTGTAGGTCTTATATTACCAATACTGTATCAAATGTTCGTCTGTCCATTTGTTAACACCAATGGTTTCTTATCAGAATTTTTCCAACCAGTGATTCATTACCGCAAACAAATTCTGGCTTGAAAGTCTTGTACACTAATACTGACACGTTCCTTGATAAGAGAGAGGAGTTTGAAACACTACTGAAGGTACACCAACCAGATATTGTAGGAGTTGTAGAACTGTTGTACAAGAACAGAAGAATCGACCCAGAGGAATGTAAGTTCAGTATTGCTGGATATGACTCATTTACGAACCTTTCTCAAGTAACTTGCAAGAGGGGTGTGATTATCTATGCTAGGCAAGACCTTAGAGCAAGCCAGGTGAGGGTACAGGGAGAGGATGGTTTTGAAGAATCAAAGTGGTGTAAAATTAAATTAAAGGGAGGAGACTTACTTATTGTCGAGTGTATCTACAGATCCCCAAACTGGCCCACGATATAAAAGGAACTGAAGAGCCTTAATAGACAATGCAACTATGCTCAACCCTAGCCACCTCCTAATCATGGAGGACTGTTGTGTTGGTCACACAATATATATATATATTTGTGCAAGTAAATCACTGTAGTTGCGCATGATCCAGGTATATGCTGATAACCACAAGGAAGGAAGAAAACACGAAGTTCCCAAGCGCTTTCGTGTAATTCACATCTTCAGGGTGTTACGCCGTCTCTTAATTTACTTAAATATCCAGGTTCTAGGCGTAACCAAACAAAAAAGTGAAGTAAATTAAAAGAGAATACAAATAAATAAAGTAAACCATTAAGAATTTAATTGATTAAATATTAACACAATAAAGAGCCTCGTAGGCTGTCAACAAATTGATTCACCATCGAAACTTTTTAGACAAATAATACTAAACATCGAAACATCAAAAGAATAAAAATAAACCATTGGATTACGTTAACACTGCATAAACATATAAAAACTAACACTGAAATTAACTAACGTGAAACAACACTGAATTACTTGAATACAACTAAGCAAATACTGATGGACATAAATAGAGACATAAATAGGTACTCACATAGATATACCACATTGGTGGCGACAGGAACAACACAAATAAATTAAGTATAAGTAACAGGTGACGAGTGTCACTCAAAGGATGTGAACTGTATGACAGGAGGACTGAACTATCTCCATCAGTTGGTGGGTCCTATATATAAGGTTGGCTCCCGCCGGTGGGTCGTTTAACGATGCAGATGGTCGTTAGAGAACAAAGAATACTGGTTACAATACAAAATGGGTTTGAACAAATAATAACAGTTAAAACCTTAACAGCACAGGGTTAAGGTGACTAGATTATATAATAGTAAATACAACACATCATTACAGGAATAATATGGAACATGGAAGCATGTTATATAAAAACAATAGAAAAATACGACACGGTCGTAACAAGGGGTGAGTACAGTCTGTACTCACACTTGAAGATGTGAATTACACGAAAGCGCTTGGGAACTTCGTGTTTTCTTCCTTCCTTGTGGTTATCAGCATATATATTTGTATAAACAGTATATTAGTTCTTGGTTTGATAAGTGGCAGGGCTGAAGTAAACACTTTATTGGTTTTATTTTATTGTAGAAAAATATAGTTTCACAGGTACTGAGTTCAGTTGAGAGTATATTGTACCTTCTCTTCTACACTAAGGGAAGTTTCTTAGTGCACTTATATGGGAGAACACTTAAGTGAGTTGTTCACTGGGTAACAGGTGATATGATAGTCTCTCTCTCACGCACATCCTGTCAGGCCGGCGCCTTACAGGATACGGGTCAGGTTGTTGTTGTTGAGAGGCGCTGACCTCGCTCGCTCCATGGAGGAAATTTCAACTCGCCAATTGATTCATACTCATGGATGAATGACTTGGTGAATACATGGGTAATATACATTGGGTATATATTTATATAATACAAATTGCTGTTACACTTTAACTAGACCCTTGATGTTCACAAATTCTGTGTACATACTCACTAGAGAATGTTGTTCTTGCACGCCAAAATTTAGAGTTGCGAGTTGTGTCACCGTGCATAAATAATGAAAAGAAATTACGCCCTTCAAACATACTATGTAATACAGTGATATATCCGTTAGCCGGAACAATTGGTGCACAGCACTTCCGGGAATGAGAGATTTCCGGCTAACGAGACGACTCTCTCAAACTCAGAAAGAATCCCCTATTCCTGGAATTTTCCAGAATGATGCTGTAAGGGGGCTCGTTTTTACTTCATTTATTCTTCAATACTTATATACTTGCTTCATATCTATATTTTCTATTAATCTTCTTTCATTTATATTATTGTATTTTCCAGATTTTATATCTTTTCTTTCTCTCAATTTATTATCCTGCTTTAGTTATATTCTATACCATGGATTAGTCTGGAAAAACCATGTCCTTCTTACACAACACTTATTATACGTACCACTTTAGCCTGCCACCACCCAGACTTTTTTAGAATATAACATATCTCATTGAACTGTTAGGTAGCGTGCTTGCGAGCTTCTAGGCACCTGAGTTACAATAGTTATTTTCTGAGAACCAACGGCTAGAAGGAATAGAGCGGTGATACTCGTAGTTTACTAATTCAATATTTATTAGATTAAGAGTGGCGAAGATGTCAATTTAACACACTCAGCTAAAACTTGACCCTAAGGTCTTACTTTACAATTCATAAAATAGATCTTCAATTGCTTATTACATCATTAAACGACTGTTATATTATTTCTTTGACAAATAAGATGGTTATTTTACACGCTCAGATAGGTCTTACTTTTACAAGTAGCAAAATAAATCTTAAATTCTTGGTTACAACATTAAACAATCATTATATTATTTAATTGCCAATACAGATGGTTCTATGACACACTTGACAATAACCCAAATTAACATATTATTTATAACATCATGTTATTTCGGAATGAACAACATGGCACTTTTCCCTCAGTTGGTCGTACATATGAATGATGTACTCAACCCACATAACACTGGTACTACCAATATTTATGGGTTCATTACTCAACCTGGGATAACTATAATGATGTACTCAACCCACATAACACTGGTACTACCAATATTTATGGGTTCATTACTCAACCTGGGATAACTATAATGATGTACTCAACCCACATAACACTGGTACTACCAATATTTATGGATTCATTACTCAACCTGGGATAACTATAATGATGTACTCAACCCACATAACACTGGTACTACCAATATTTATGGGTTCACTACTCAACCTGGGATAACTATAATGATGTACTCAACCCACATAACACTGGTACTACCAACATTTATGGGTTCACTACTCAACCTGGGATAACTATAATGATGTACTCAACCCACATAACACTGGTACTACCAATATTTATGGGTTCACTACTCAACCTGGGATAACTATATTTCTTCTAATTATCCCCAATCATATACAACAATAATACTTTGGCCCATATAACTGTAAGGAGTGCCCCAGGGTGTCATACTGATGTCACCACAACAAACGAAAAGCGATGTTTGAGTCGGTTACAGTCCGACACACTGCGAGGGAGTTTGGGCCTAGTTCCCAGGGTGAGGACTCGCACAATTTAGTCGTGCTGAATTAACGACATCCTGCAAGACAGCCAGCTGGTATGCAACTACCGGTCCCCTGGTGACTGTCGGGTATTCAGCTAACACACACACTGTGCCTGAGATATGATGGAACAGTGTCAGAGATGTCACAAAAATTACTCAATCACAAACAATCTTTCGTCTGGCAACGACAGACGATATTTACGTTACATTAATTCTTTCTCTGAGTAGATGATAATTTCGCTGTTACAACATGTTCTGATATTTACAAAATTCACCGAGTTAAACTGACTGAATATGGTGGGCGTGGGAACATACACATAGGGTACCTGAAATATGATGGAACAGCGTCAGAGATGTGACGCTGCTCCTCGTACACGAGTTTATATACGGCTAACTGGCAACTCAGGCCTGTGTGCTACACATGCCAGAAAGGCTAATCACGCAATGACAGAAATTACATTAAACTCCGTCGCTGTACATTTAACTATGGAAATCAATGCCATGGGTCAGGTGAATTTCTTACGTCTATTTTTATAATCTAATCAGAGATTGAGATTGCCAGGAAAAAGGGAAATGGATGTCAAATGCACACACTAACAACAATGTTTTCACAAGCTCAGCAAAACTACAAACAAGGAACTATTCACGGGGATACATTAGATTTTGGAGATTATACAGTTTGACAGAATCGTTCAGGAGATTAATGACTTTCTTAAATAGACAACTGACACTAACTATACTACAAACATCAGATTCTCTGATGTTTGGGCGACATAATGATCTAATTTCAGAAGTACTTATAAACTCATGGCTATCCCCAAGGACGATATAAGGACGTGCCGCTCGTACTGGCAGACTTGACACTCACTCACTTGACAAGTTTCACTAACAATAAAGACAGTTGAAGCTTTCAACATCACTCACAAGGAATCTTGAATGTTCCATCTGTAATCAGATATATCTAAGTTGCCTTAACAGATACGACTATAGTTGCAATTTCAAATTTTGTGTTGTTACACTAAGGAATACGGAGTCTCGAGTGCACTCTAAGATTGAGGGAAAACAGAGGACTCAGGCGTCCTGAAGTGATGAGAAAACGGACGCCTCAGACAGTGGACTCAATAAAGAAGGCATAGCTACATGTTTTGTGAGCTATTGAGCGTAATATGAATCATCTGATTTTATGTTAACTAACATGTACGACCGTGGTCATTACAAAGCATTATTTCATCTCTCAAACCCAGAAAAATCACCCATTCCCGTAATTTTTCTGGGTACTGTACCGGGAAAATTTTCTCAGAATTTTCCAGAAAATGCGCTTCCCAGAAAATCATTCCCAAACTCAAAATTTTATGGAAAATTCTGAGCAAATTTTAATTATGGCTGTCAGAGAGTTCCCGCTAAGAGGGATTCTAGCTGATGGAGATATTGCTCTACCTATGAGGAAAAGTACTGTACAGTAAGGTATATCCTGGTGTCTTGGAGTGACCATTTAATATTTACCTTAATTCATAACAATGGCTTCACACCAGGGCAAGTCTTCCCAGCCTGCTATATACTGTACATGTTTCTGTGACCAAGAGGAAGTGGTGTACCAAAAACTTTATTGATAAATTCTATACAAAATAAATACATGTGTACTGTACTGTACTGTATTTACTAGAACACAGTCAAATTTGTGTCTCAATATGGGATGACCCAGTAAGTGAGGGCGACGTACAATGATCTTTATTATTTATGTCCAGTAATTGTGTACAAGACAGTTGTGTGAGGCTAAATAACATTCTTCTATAACTGAGGATTTCTGAATGTTTATTGAGTTTGAGGAAAGTATGATTTTGGGGATTGAAATCAATATTTTAAGACTCAGGGATGCTAACCAATTTTTCACCTGAGAAAATTGATTTATACTTATTCAATATACTGTACAGCACATGATATTTTTCAGGCATATAAGCCTCATATACAGTATATCAAGGTTTTACTGTAGTTCAAAGGTGTATTCACTAAATTTCTTTCTTTACAGCAAGTTTGACCTGTACACAAAAAAAGAAGAGATTCCTAATATTGAGGAGCTGCTCCCATACTATCAGTCCCTCATAGACAAGTACTGTCCAGGCAAGCTCAAGTGGTAGCTCTTGACAACACTGCAAGTAAGTAGGATTTCTCTTGAGCCTTTCTGGGTATACCTGTACTGTCTAAATGTTTATACTTGTATACCTGTACCTACAATGTCTAGGTACAGTACATTGTATACCTACATCGTCTAGGTACTTGCTGAATTAATGAAACTTGTACTGTATTATAATTTTACTCAATAAATATCCATAGATCTAATGATCTGTGTGTGTGTGTGTTAACAGACACACACACACACACACACACACACACAGACACACAATAAAGGTAATAATCTGTTTATTCCTTTTGTGTGTTAAAGGTAGATGTGTGAAAAGAACAGAAGAAGGAAATAGGAGGAGTGAGGAAAACATGTTGACGGTGCAGAGCGACGGCAGGAAGGTGTTGTGGACGGGACCAAACCTTAGCCTCATGGTTTACTTCTTCTGTGGTTCTTAAAATGTCAAGTTTATCAGTAGATATTTAGGAACACAGACTGTGTACAGAGGTGAGAAGTGTTCTGCTTTGAACAACAATAGTGAATAATTGTTGAGACATGTTAATAGTGGCGTTTGGCCTTTGTTAATGTATTAAGGTAGCAGAACATTATACTGTACTGTAGCTTCTGTAAAAACTTCTAAATATAACGACTGACTTTAATTAGCAACTGCCCTGTTTAGACATACTGTATATATCTCCGTTGGCCGGAATCCCTCAGACCCGGAACTCTCTGATTGCTGGAATTGAATTTTTTGGGGAAAATCGTTCCCAAAGCCAGAATTTTCCGGAAAATTCTGGCTTTGGGAACGATTTACCGAGGTGCACATTTTCCAGAAAATTCTGACAAAATTTTACCGGTATCCGGAAAATTATGGGGATGGGGTTTTTTATTCTGGGTTTGAGAGATGAAAATTGGGGCACTTTAAGGAAATTCCAAGACATTTTTTTCCAGTACCCAGAAAATTCCAAGGATCGGGGCTATTTTTCTGGGTTCGAGAGACGATGTAATGCACAATTTCTGGAATTTCCGAGAATATTTTTCCATTACACGGAAAATTCTGGAAAATTCCGGGGATGAGGGGTTTTTTCAGGCTTTTATGTACAGAAGCAATAGATATCTCACAAGAGTTGTCGAATTCCCACTGACTGTCCCGCCAGTCTCCGGTAATTGCCGATGATCGGTATCAGTGAACAGACAAACAGCAGGAAGGTAGACTTCCACCAGGTCACAGAAACACACTTGTGTACTGTAGTCTACTTTAATAAACAGTAATTCTCAGAGATGTAAAAGTAAGTAAATAAATGTTACTTGAGTACTACTGTACTCAAGTAACATTTTGGGGTGTTTACTTTTTAAAAAGAACTCAAATATTTTAGTCCTTTTACTCCAATACAAATGGTACAACAAAAATCACTACTTGTTACATGAAAACTAATAATATATTTTGTTATTATTTTATTAATTATTAACCATAGTAAAAGGGCTGTGTGGGTGGAGGGTGTGGTGTGGGTGGAGGGCGTGGTGTGGGTGGAGGGCGTGGTGTGGGTGGAGGGCGTGGTGTGGGTGGAGGGCGTGGTGTGGGTGGAGGGCGTGGTGTGGGTGGAGGGCGTGGTGTGGGTGGAGGGCGTGGTGTGGGTGGAGGGCGTGGTGTGGGTGGAGGGCGTGAAGGGAGGGCGGTGGGGTGGAGGGTGTGGTGTGGGTGGAGGGTGTGGTGTGGGTGGAGGCCGCGGTGTGGGTGGAGACATCACGCGGTCACATACCTAGAGGTCTCTTGAAGTAAGGTGACGTCAGGTCAGGTGACAGTGACCATGACAGCAGACTTTCCCTTTGATCTTCTTGTGTCCATTAGCACCTCGACCACCCACCTCACCTAGCCTACCCTCTTCTTCCCCCCTCCCCCATCCAACCCCCTCTCTTCTCCCCCACCTTTCCTTCAGGGCTCGGCCTTCCAGTTAGATGTCAGTTGCTCTTTGCATATACCTGTACTTTTTTTTTACCTTTATCCTCTTCACCACTCATCAGCTCGTTCGCCACTTGGGTGGTGGGTCACGTCTCTGTTACACACTGTTGGCAAGTACTGGGTATGTACCGGCTCCTGAATGTACCTGAACCTGCTCCAGTGTTGGTCAAGTCTGGTCTTGAAACAGCTCACACTCGGTGCCGTCATGACACTTTCTGGCAGATTGTTCCAAGAGTTCACAACTCTCACTCCGAAAACGTTTTCTGGACCTGCGGCTTCTTCAAACTTCAGCTGTGACCCTTTGTGGGGCCAGCTCCAGGTATGAACACTCGACTGGGTGTTCCATAATGGCATCTCTGATAATGCTCTCTAGTAATTTACACACTGTGCTGGTCAGGCTCACTGGTCTATAGTTGTTCGCGGATTGACGATCGCCCTTCTTGAAGATAGGACTCACATAAGCCATTTTCAAATCACTGGGGACCTTTTGCTCATCCAGGCAGTTACAGAACAGGATCTTCAGGGGCTCAGCAAGCTTGTTGCACAACTCTCTTAGCACTCTGGGATGCACCATGTCAGGGCCGGGACTCTTATGAACCTTTAGCTTTGACAATTATTTCTTTTAACCTCTTCTGTGAACACAATGTGGGTCAGTGCTGTGTCGAACCGTCTGTCCTCAAACGCAGGAAGGTTAGTTGCATCCTCTCTTGTGAACACCGAGGAAAAGAAGCTGTTCAATGACTTAGCTTTATCCTGGTAAGAATCTGCATATCTACCATCTTCAAGCCTCAGGTCTGATACGCCTACTCGGTTTTTTAATTTCGACTTTGCGTAGTGGTAAAAAGCTTTTTAGTTTAACATGACCTCGCTTGCAACCAGCCTCTGGAACTCCCTTTCAGTCCTTCTACAGTCTGCTTTTGCTTGGTTTCTGGCTTTGGCATACATCCTCCTGTTCTGCTCATCATTAGTCCTAACCCACATCTCGAAATTCTGAGTTTTCTTCTTAACTTTGTCTACTGTCACATGGTTCATGTGTGGCGGTCTCCTTGTATTCCTAGAGACACTGGGTTTGGTCTTGGGTATATATTTATCGATCAAATGGGTCACTTTACCAGCTATCATGATCTTCAGTGTAGTGTCTGCATTCTTATGCCTTAGTGAGTCAGGCCAGTGGATACTCCTCATCTCCTCCCTCATCCCGTCATAATTACCATTGTAATATTTAAACTTTGGCCTGATTTTGTTGTGAACCAAGTAACAGTTACATCTGAATGACAACTTTGTTATATATGTGTTTGTTTATATGCTGCCTTTATTGATTATATATACATTATAGATTATGTTACTTCTTACCAAAGTTAGAATGTGTTCAGGCCTGTGTAATCACGAATGTGTTAGGCACGTGGTACACAACAACAACAATAAACCACCTGAGTAAGAGTCGGCATGTGGCTTCTCCTTCTCCCATTAAATCATGTAAGATACTACACTGGCAACGAGGATGGGATTCACAAAGTGTTGGTGAAGCCCTTGAAGAGAGGATAGTGACCACTGAAGGGAAGGCTACTCTGAACCTGGAGAATTTGAGTGAAGAGAACAACCATGGCTGGCGTCAGTGGATACATCAGACGAGTGGGGGAGTATGATGCAGACAAGGAGAACTTCATATCATATTGTGAGAAAATGGACTTCTTCTTCCTGGCAAATGAATTAATGGACGATGGAGGTGATGCTCAGAAGAAGAAGGCCCTTGAAGAGAAAAGGAAAGTAATCTTTTTGACAGAGGTAGGACCTAATGTTTATTCTACTCTGGTCGATCTGCTTGCTCCAGACAAACCAAAAGACTCCTCACTGATTCAGATTACCAAGATTCTGAAGCAACATTTTGATCCTGCTCCACTTGAGATTGCTGAAAGTTACAAATTTGGCACAAGCGATAGAGGGAAAGATGAATCAATAAGCGGTTATATAGTAGCTTTGAAGAAGTTATCCATTCACTGTAACTTTGGACAGTTCTTGAACCGAGCTCTAAGAGACAGGTTTGTGATAGGTCTGAATTTTAAAAAAATACAGAATAAGTTAATGAACATCACTAACTTAACTTTTGAAAAAGCATGTCAGATAGCTACAAGCATGGAATTAGCAGAGAAAAACACCAGAGAATTTGTTCCCAATGCCGGTGGTGAAACAGTTGGCAGTAGTGGCTCAGTGTGTAAAGTAACTACAGTATAGCTAAAAGGAAGAATTATGCCACAAAACAAGGAACACATACTGATTTAAAATGTAAGAGGTGCCTAGGTTAACATGAAAGTTTTCAGTATAAGTTCAAGAATTCAAGATGTTACAATTGTCAGCGTATTGGACATATTGTTCCTGCCCATGAGAAAGAAATTACCGCCCCTGCCAGAAGTGATAAAGGTAGAGTATATGTCGTTGAAAGTGATGAGAAGGAAATGAAAAACAGAATTCATGAGAGTGTTAGTAATTTTGGATCTGATAATGATAAGAGTGCCCATGTGTTTACTATTTACACCAGTCATGAAGAGCAAGTTAAACGTAGGTATAATGTGGACTTGTGTATTAATGACTCGCCTGTAACCATGGAGGTTGATACTGCAGCTGATTTCTCCATAATGAGTAGAGATATGTATGAGAAGCTATTTGCACATGTGCCTTTAGAAGACTCAGGTGTCAAGTTGAGAACCTATACTGGAGAGATTTTGAACACAGAAGGTAAATTAGAGTGTGAGGTAAAGTAACAAAAATCAGAATTTAAAGTTGCCATTAATTATAGCTAGTTATGTGAATAGACCAACTTTGTTAGGTAGAGCTTCAGTTGTGTGGCAGAATGAGACTGAGAATGACTGTGTGTGTGTGTGGTGAGTGAGTGAGTGATTGGAGAGAGGGTGGGTGATGAAACGGTGTTCTGGGTCTTGAGGTGGCAGAAAATGCAAGATTTTTGTTGTTAAGGACAGGATGGTATAAAGGGTTATGAAGCTCATGCACCATTGACAAAGTAGCTTACCCATATGTCTTCAAGTCCAGATTTATATTTCATATGCATTGAAGGTGAGATTGAGAAGGAGGTGGTTGGCATCATGTGCCGGTGAGCCTGATGAGCTCGTAACACACACGTCTTGCCAGCAGTGCCCACCGACCCCCTACTCTGTGAATGTGGAGTCACGAGAATAACCGTTATAGTACCCTCTTCTTTCACTCCACACAGCCAAACTGTGAGATGCTCTGCCTTCTTTCTGTGTTTCCCATGCCCATACAATCTGTCTCCCTTTAAAAAGCTGATTTTCAGGCATCTTCGTGGTGTAGATTAACACAGTATGTGCTGCTCTCTATTTTCAGTTTTAACAGATTATTTGTTTTTGATAAGCCCCGGGTCTAGTTCTTAGATTGGTTTGATACCTGATATTGGGCTAATTTAAATAAAAATCTATTGCGAGCCGCCAAGAGCAATTGGAGCTTAACTATAGTAATTGTACTTACAAAAGCTGATAAATCTGTTAAACTATGTGGTGATTATAAAAGTTGCCATTAATCAAGCTGTTGACGATGAGCAATATCCCTTACCGACATCTCAAGATTTGCTGCACCCCAACAGGTGGAACCATTTTCACTAAGTTGAACTGTCCTAAGCAATACTCAGGTGCTCTGTTGATGCTGAAAGTCCAGCA